TATAGCTTAATATTTCATAGTTTGAACTTAGGGGCCTGACACCTTAGCGTCTCAACCATCTGTATTCAAGTGTAATTGATATATTTGATCCAACTGTGAGGTCAATTTGACTCATCTCGATGAATTTACTCATTGTTCGCTTAAAGATGACAGCTGGTTCATGCTAGCTATCGTTTTTTTAATGGTCCTAGTTGATTGAAATCTGGCTTCCCAAAAAATGGACTCCCTAAGTAGTTCATAATCACAGCTCTGTCATGTATGCATTTTACCTTCACTTAGTGGAAGTACGCAAAGCGGCTCAAGCAATGGTGTTAGCCTGGTTCAACTTCCTTGACAAGGATCCAATCCTTCTGCTACGACGCCTGGACACGGAAGGCGTACCCAAGACGAGCAAACTTTGCTTAGACAATCTCCTTCCATCTTTGAATGAAGAAGACTTAATCGGTGTCATAACAAAGTGGTCAAATGACTATCTAGATGAAAAGTGAGTTTGGGTATAGGTTCCCAATACTTTCAACCATTTAGACATATTCCCAAACCAGATAGATGTTCAGTTGAGTGCGTATTCTTCTGGCGAGTTATTTTTGAGTACTTGTTGAAGAAACAGAAAGCCTGCGAAGATATTGATGACGATGAAAAGGAGGGTGATGGTTCAAATGGGCAATCTTCCTCTCTTACATCAAGTCAAATTGCATTCCTCCTTGGGCGTATTACTCCCAGTGTCACGGATTATGTGGATTTCGTCATCAGGTAAGTTGATCGGCTTACGTGATTTCAACTTTTATCTTTTTTTGTTTCTAGTCGTGTGGATAGCTTGTTGGCCCTCTTGCGAGCTGATGCTGACTACAATGAAAACGTGATGGAAGCGGAATGTGTACTTGAGCATGTTTTGATGGTCAGTGAGTCTTTGGATCTCGCAGATGAGTTTGGAAGACGAAGGCTCATGGATGTTGTTCGTGCGTGGTTGGTTTGTCCACAGGTACCTGCTAGTCTCACTAAGTACCTTCTCGATATATTCTTCAAGCTTGAAACAAATGTGGTAAGCTGAGAAGGAAAGATAAATTTTATGCCGCTTTATGTGTACTTTTTTATTTTAACTGACATACATCTTGGTTGCGCTTACTAACATTAGGATCTTTCTTCACCGGTGATTTTTCGATTTGCTATACTGTTTTATGCTCTGACCTGCTTTTTGAATTCTCGTGGCTTGGTGAAAACAAGACTGCCTTGAGTTTCTATTCTTTCATATTCTATTTTATTGTTTCGAACCTATTATTTCTACTAAATTTGATCAAAATTGGTAATCCGAAGTTCATGTCCAGGTGTAGTGTGGGGTAAATAGATGAGAAAGATCGGTTCAAGAAATTACTTTGAAAGTGGTTGAGTGGACAGTCTGAATCGTAGCCATTTCTTTCTATAATTGAGGTCTAATTTTGGACTTCTTCTTGAAACTTGGATCAGAACCTTTTTGTTGTCAACATTAGTTGAGTCCAATCTAAACTTGACCTGATATGCAATTCATTTTATCAATTATTGTGAGAGATTGGGTTGGAGATCTTGAGACTATATTGTGACAGCGTTCTGCTATCCAGTTTCAAGGTGACTTCTCACGCACTAACGACACCTTAATTATGATTGTTAATTACTGTTCTCTAAGATAGTACTAATAGGTTTTCGCAATGGGATGCGAAAACAACCCATTAAGGAATGAAATAAAAGGGTTGATTAAAATGTAACCTTGGTCCCTATCTCAGTTCCGTTCACTTGCCCGTTTCAATTATCCAAAGTTGGAGGAAGGGAAAGAAACCCTACTACGTCATTTTGGTTAACAAAAAACCTAATTTTTTTTCTGTAGATCTTCAAGTAATTTTAGGGTTAAAATCGGAATATCAACTTAAAAAAGATCTATTTCCGTTTGACGCAAGTAGTCTGTGCTTTTAGGGGCACATTTACTCTATCTTGTTTATAAAAGGAGCACTTTCCTAGGATTCATGCTTTGCCCTACTTTCGAATAGGGTTTCAACTGAACAATATCATTTTTAAACTACCACGAATATGCTGGGTGTCAATTTACCTTTATTAGCTGATTTCCATGGGTTCTTGATGACGAAGATACAAGGCACGCTCTTTGTTCCTACGCGATTTCAAGGGTTATCCCTTGATATTACAGTACCTGATCATTAACATTGACTTGTTTGCCCTCTCTCCATTACTTTCAGCAAAGTCGTGTTGTCAAGATGACAGAAATGACCTCTGAGTTATTGGAGGCTGCTGAGGACGACGTGAAGAGGCAGCAACGACTACAGAAACTCCAGGAACAACAGAAAGCTTCCGATGGAAATGTTAATAGTGAATCTGTTTCCACTGTTTCAAATACACCCATAGCTGAACTCCCACAGCCAGAAGTGATCGCCAAACCGATCAACAAGGCTCGAGAGACGTTTCTTCGTATTAAGGTACCGTCCTGATGGATTTATTCCATCTATTTCGTCTCGAGAAATGATTTTTTTTGTGGTTGATTTGAGAGTTGATTTCTAGTATACTCTCAACAGACGTCAGTGTTGAAATCCTTGACCTAATTGTAGAGGACAAGTACTTTTGAGTCACCGTAGTGAGAATTCTCACATTCTACCAACAGCGCTTGTTGATCGGAGCTAACCGGTTCTTGTGATCTTTGTTTTTACACAAGAACTTATTGTTGGTTAGCACAGTTAATATGCGATTTGAGGCCTTAAACTAGCATTTCCAATATTTATTTATATCAAATGACAGGCGTTTTGATAGTTATCATTAGCCCTTTAGTTGACTTCAGGCTTCACAGAGAAGAAGGAACATCAAAGTAGCAGAAAGTCGAGGGATGGGGTACAGAAGAGAGATTCAAAGATGTAAAAGAGACAGAGGGACACAAAGGTAGAAAAAAGGTGAGGTGAGTACTGTGCAAGTAGTCGAATATTAAATGCAGTGGGGTCTTGGTAGTTTGAAGTGAAAAGTCAACTGCCGGTTAATAGACTTTTTTTGCCGTATGTGTATACGTTGCCCAGGGTGCACCACGTGGAGGTAAGTCTATCACGCACCCAGCACCTCCAATATTGAAATAGTCGAACTGTAGGAGAATTTTATTCGCCAAAGCATTTGCTATTTACGCCGATGTTTAAACTAAGAAATGGATAAGTAATATTGTTTGACAGTTTAAAACTAGAGGTGAACTTGTCTTATTAATGGTTTTAATTCTTTATCATAAGCCTTGTGGTATGGAAATCATCTCTAGACCAGATTTTACTTATTTTTCGTGACAGAAAAATCGCTTTTGGGAACTTTTACAGATGTTTAGGGCACTTCTAGCGCACTTTTTATTTCAATCGCTGAATCAGAAATGACTATTTTTTTTAATAAAAAAATTCTCAAAATTCATGTAGTTTGAAATCAAACTGAAGGCTGCTCTCGTTCTTTAAATCTAATTTTTTTCGTTGCTATTTTTTTTAGATAGCAGAGCTGAAAGTCAAGTTGAATGAACTCAATGAGTCCCTCTCTGAATGCGTTCGCCTGAAAAATTTCGAACGCGCCACCATCCTGCAAGAGGAGTGCAATCATTTGGAGGCGGAACGTTCCCTCTTAATGCGCGAAATTATGGGTGGTAGTGTTCAAGCGACTCCCGTTGGAACTACCACCGCTGGCACTGCTCTACTCAGTGCGGGTACTTCAATAAAAAGGGAACCGCCAGCTGCTGGCGAAGCCGTTGAAATTCCAGTGATTAATGTTGACAGTGTACCAGAGGAGGAGGAGGAGGATGAGGACGAGGAGATGGAAGAAGATGGAAATCGGCCGAATATGGAGGTCACTCTAGTTAGACGACAGCTTAAATACCTTTCGCGTCTATCTGCTGATGTGGTCTTGAAATCCAACAAAATGGTCGTTGTGACAATTCAAAGGTCTCCTACGCTGTGGACTCTTCCGCCCTCACTCCGTTCTCTATTGTATAATTTGGTAAACCTTCTGGTTCTATTAATTCTAACGTCTTTTAGATTCTCCCCTCTGTCCAACATGCAGATCTGGCTATCAGAAATCAAGCGATTCTTGCATTGGGTCTCTGCTGTACTTTGGATTTAGATCTCTCCAAAACCTATCTCCCTCTCTTCTATGAGGTAAGTGGGAGTAAAATGACCGGACATTGCTTGTAGGCTTTGAAAATGGATCATCCAACTGTGAGGGTCACCGCTGTCGGCTGTATAATCGATATTCTTGTGGTATTTGGCATACATCCATTTCTGGAAATCGCAGACAAGTTTGATGAGGTCGCTTTGGATTTGAGTAAGTTCTTTTTTCCTTAATACTAATACGTGTCATGAAGCTGTTGATTGAAGTCATTTTTTCATTCCTTTGTCGTTATTTAGAGTAGTCATAGTGTGTGGAAGAAGTGTCGTTTCTTTCCTCTAGGTTTCTAAAAGCACCCTTGCCTTCTGTTGGTTTGGTGGCAATGAATATTTGAAGGGGGTAAACAATTAGTGTTCTTCGATCTTTCGTATTCGAGGGTATTTGATCTTAACCCGTTGCTATCGAGAAACAGGAGATTACCATCAGCCACACTCGATGGAGTTCGCTTTGACGCGCGACCGTTAAAAAAGTCTATCTGACATTCTAGTCAATATGCTCCAAAATATTTTAAGCAAAGACCCGATCAGATTTTCGGTCTTTTAGCCAACTACAATACTCATTATTGCCTTTTTCTTACTTCTAGGTGATCTCGTCCTCCTAAAAAGCAGTCATTCAACCGTTGCCACATTGAATGCCAGTGCTTCTGAGACCATCAGCCTTGCCCTTCGTATTCTTGGACCTCTTGTGGAACTTCTTGATTTCGATGTAAGTTGACGATCCTACAAACGATTACTTGACAAGTAGGCTTACCCGATATATAGCAAGTGGGTTTCCACCTCTTACCGATTTTGTTATTTATAGTCAGTCACTCGAGAGGTTATCTCGAAAGAGGTATGTCTGTGTTGTAGAGTGACTTCATTTGCTAAATTATAATTCATACGCCTGTCGCTTCACCATTTCCTAATTAACACGCTGTAGTTTTACTAGCTCGCGATTGTGACTCACTCTCGCCTCTTTTCAGGACGCAGATTTGCGAACCGTTTCTGGCGTGGGAGTGGCCAAACTCTTTATCTTTGGACGCATACTCTCTGGGCGACTTATATCACGTCTCCTCCTGTTGTGGTTCAATCAGCAGACTTCAGAGTTGCCAACACTAAGTCAGACATTGGGAGTATTTTTCACGGATTTTGTTTGCTCCAGTCAGGAGCGGCAATCGTGCGTTACGGATGCTGTGTTACCCACTCTGGCCTCTTTGGTTGCGGCGCCAGCTACTTCACCACTCTCGGATGTTGATCCTGGCCTGGTGGTTGATCTCCTGGTCCGACTGACTGATGCTGCCTCTCTTTTTCCCACTGCAAAAACTAAAGCGGCTTTAAATGCGGGAGAGGAGTATAAAAGCACTGTGAGTTCATGTCTCTGCTTGCGTAAAAATGGAGCTCAAACTGGTGAATTAGATAGAGGACTTGGGGGGGGGATGGAATGAGATGCTGATTAGTGTATTGAACTTAGAGCTTTCAGAGAGAAGAGCTACTAAAAACGTATTATTGGGGAGGTTCAATGTTCACTCAAACTGCTCAATTTGGATTGAGAATCTCTGCATTCCAAGGGTAAAGAAGTCGCATACACATTACAGTTGTCACTGAGATTCAAGAAACAAAGGCTACGAATTAGGTTTTACTTTACTCTGAGCACTTGATTTCCGATGTATTTCTAAAATTTTCAAGCAGTTGCATTTGTGGTTAAGGTTAGTTCCGGCTCTACAGCAGTTGCACTGAAAATAAACTTTGTGCTGTGGGAGGATACCCGGACTCGATCCAGGGACCTTCCGAATTGTCTACTACTGGGCTGATTTATTCTTGGTCTTCTTTAACTGCCTGTGGGAGTTAGTTATTTTTGCTTCGACCTTAAATTTTTTTATAAATGGGCACTGAAAAATGGAGTATTCGGACATTTTGAGCGATTCATTGTTTTATTATTTATTATTAAATGTGTGTTATTTATTCCCCCCCTTTGTTATTTGAGGACAATCCTTGCCACGATGATTTGGCTATGCGCCTTAGCAATCAAGTGCTAAATTCTCCACAGTCAGCAGAAGCTCGGCTCTACATTCGAGTTTTGGGCCAATTGCGTCTCTCCCTTCACAAACCCCAACTCTACAGGGATCAACTTCGAATGGTTAATCTCATGTTGAAGGTAGGTCATCGATATTTGTACAACAACGCTTTTCCCCTCCACTTACCGCTTACCGTAAGACTCATTTGAATTTGTCTTTGAAATGCATAACTTGTAGGTTGTCAACAAAAATATTGTGGTTTGCGAATGATTTGTTTATTTAATTTATTTATTATCAAATGGCAGGCGTCTTGATGGTTATCATTAGCCCTTGAGTTGACTTCAGTCTTCACAGAGGGGAAGGAACATCAAAGTGTAAAAAATTCAAGAGGGGGGGGGGGAAGAGAAGAGTGTATCAAAGACGAAGGTAGATAAGGTGGAAAAAAGGCTGGATGAGTACTGTGGAAGTAGTCGAATATGACATAGTGAGGTGATGGTAGTTTGGAGTGAGAAGTCAACTACCAGTTAATAGACTTTTTTGCCGTATGAGTATACGTTGCTTAGGGTGGACTCAGAAACCTCCATTGTGCAAGTGAAAGCTTGATTATCTAGGATTTCAGAGGGATAGGCAAGGCAAAGGAACTACTGTGTCCGGAATCCAGGTGTTTGGGCACCTGTTGATGAAAATTGTCATGCCAACCTCCTAACAACTTTGAATGGGCATCCGCTGGGATGTTTGAACCAATCGGGACAAGATTTAAGACATGCATTTTTTCGAAATTTGTTTTTGTTGTTCTCTGAATTGACAAATGGCTGTTCTTCCCTTCGTCAGTTTCCTTTCCTGACTTTAGTGCACAGAATGTGTTCTTTGTTTATGGCCAATTTCTCAACTCGGAACTGGGGTTTTGTGCTTCATAAGATTCACTGACACATCCCAATTCTGTATAAAATTATTATTATTTCAAATGGCAGGCTTTAAGATATTTATCATTAGCCTTTAAACTTTGACTTCAGCTTCCCCAAGGGTGGGGGGTACATTTATAGCAGTTAATTAATATCAGTTCATTAGCTGTCTTCTTGGTTCCTAGTATCTCTGGCTTTCCGTCGTTGTCTTTAGAGCTAGACATCGAATCAGGTGGATCTTCTCCATTTCCTCCTGTAGGTTTCATAGGGGGCATGTGGGTTGAGTGTATACTCCCAATCTGTGAAGGTGTTTTGGCAGGCAATTGTGTGCGGTACGTAGTCTAAACTCAGCAGCGGCTTCGATTCTTGGCACGTCGGAGAGTGCTAGTGTCCACTGTTTCTCCTTTGTTCGAGCTTTAAGTTCGTTGCCCCTTGAGGTCTTGAATTCTCTTCTGATTAAGGCCTTCATTGTGTGGAAAGACATCGGCCGGTCCATGCACTGCAAAATCGTTGTCCCCTTCTTAGCAAGTGTGTCAGCAAGGGCATTGCCTTTACTGCCACAGTGACCAGGAATCCATTGTAGGACCACATTTTGTATAAAATAGAAGATAATCTATTTCTTTAGGTAGAAATATTCTTCCATTTGAGAAGAGTTAGTTCAGCCGCAATCTTCGTCAATGACTATTCTGCATTCTGCTCTTGCCCTACTCAACCTTCTATCAATTTTTACCCTAAGAGTTATTTACTGTTGCCATTTCAGTAAACCCTAGCATATGCCAATCAAATGGAGTAAAAGAGCACCTTTTCTCATTGATGGAAATACTAATAATTTGCAAATATTCCTCTTTATAAAAGCTCACAAGATTTTCGGTAGGTCTGAGTTTAAGTTTCGTTCTTGTTATTTGTTACCGTGTTCTCCCTGCCTCCAATTTTTCATAAAGTAAGGATTTGTTTCGTTGTAGAAAGCCGAGCGTCATTGCATTCTAACTCTTCACCGTTTCAAGAAGAACATCCTCACAAGTATAACCTCCTCAGGCTTGGACGTTAACGATTTTCTCGAAGATGTTGTTCAGCAGTCTAATCCTACAGCTGCTGCACTTTCTGAGGAAATACCCGATTCCCAGAATCCCTCCAGTAGAGCTTCTCCAACACCATCAGAAGATCAACCAGCACTTCTTGCCCTCCCGGGGGCCACCCAAATGAACTTGGAGGAGGTTGAAGGTGCCCCGCGTCGAAAATCTATTATAAACCATGAACATCATATGGGGAATACATTGACTGGCCTCTCATTAAGAGGTAAAAATGTTGTTCAGAGACTTACGGTTAGGCAGCATGCTTCTTTCCAGACCAAAATTTAAAAAAACTAATTGCAATTAACCCGAGACCTCTTGATCTGCCTTACCATTTTGATCAACCCCACGGTTGCCTTTGCTTACATGTTTCTCTCTTCTCTATTTTGCGAATTTAGATTTTAGCCTTAGGTTTTAAAAATTCTATCCCTTACTAAGTCTTTATTTAAGTGCCAATTTTCTATGTTATATCGCTTTTCGTTTCTGCTACTTCCAGCCTGTGAATCATTCACAAATCCGTGGATTTTGTTCACATTGAAGGCTCAGATTGAGGTTTCTAAATTTTTTATAGTTAAAAACACCTCTGACTTCATTTACTGTAACTTTTTCGAATGGCAGGCTTTATGATATTTATCATTAGCCCTTAAACTTTGACTTAATTAATAGCAGTTCATTAACTGTCTTCTTACTTCCCAGTATCTCTGGATTTCCGTCGTTTTCTTTAGGATTGGACACCGAATCAGGTGGTTCTTCTCCATTTCCTCCTGTAGGTTACATTGGGGGCATGTGGGTTGAGTGTAAACTTCCAATCTGTGAAGGTGTTTTGGGGGGCAATTGTGTGCGGTGCATAGTCTAAACTCAGCAACGGCTTCGATTCTTGGCCAGTCGGCTATGTGGTAGAGTGCCACTCCTAAACTCAGCAACGGCTTCGATTCTTGGCCAGTCGGTTAATTGCTGTAACTAAAGTGGACAAGTAAGGTAGCAGAGTAGACGACATGATCACGGTGAGAGTCGAAGTGTGTGTTTCAGTGTGTCGTTCGTAGTCTACCTGGTTTGCTATTGTCCATTTGCCACAAGGTAGACATATTTAGTTGTGTCTCTTCCTTTAACGTTTAAATTTATCGTCAGGTTCTGACCCAGTTGGACTTAGAGACTCCTTACAAAACGAATGATATTCCTGAAGGCTACAGTTCCCGTAGGACCGCGTTTGCATTGAAAATAAATGAAGGGGAAAAATGGAG